CTTTCACTTTACATTACACCTTCTCCAATACAACCTTTTCCATTCTCATCAAGTCTGAAACTGTGAACCTTTATTCACTTATTTAGAACACATCAGTTGCCAATGGGACATTCCTTTCCTCTTCTATTGATTTTACAGCCAAATAGAAGCAGCTCAGTCCAACACATCCAAGGTGCTTGGACTGTACTTTCATTTAACACAGGAATCTGTCCAGTAAATTCACAGAGAAAATGCCTTTATGTTAAAGTCAAAGAACTGAGTTAGACTAGCATCTTGTACTTCAAAGTCCTGTAGCCTTGCAATCATTCTGAGGCTATTGTCTATCATGTGCAAATTCAATTGTCTCAAGCCACAGATCTTTAACTGACATCCAGACTTCTGTTCCAAAAGGGCATTCAGCTGGTGTAGCAGTTTCTGAGAGTCAGGTGTCAGTACCTCTATCATCTTGATAGTGACTGGGGCTCAGTGGTAACCACCCTTCTTGGGCCTGCCCTCATCTCACCTCACGAAATCCAATCTCAGAGGCCTAGGAAACAAAGCAAAGGGAGAAGCCCAGGGAGCGGGAGCCTTCCTGGGTGGATGTCTCTGCAGAGCCACCAAGATCATATTGCCCTCATCAGGGTCAGCTTGGAGCTGAAGGGCTGAAAAGGCATTTTGATATTTGATTGCATATTATTTCATACTGTTATTTCAGAGTTTTGTGTGCACATATTGTTTCTTCAGTAAGTCTAATGCTTTATAAGCATAGTAACCACATCTGACATTTCCATGCCTCGCACATTGTGTGCTTGGACAGCTCTGCCTGGAATATTCTTCCCCCGGTTGCCCACATGTCTAATATAGTGCTTTGTGTTGTGTCAAAACCTAATGCATATTTGTTGAATATTTAACACGTGCTGATTTTAGGTTAGTAAATGTCTTTTCGATAATTGATGATTTTTGTTATACCTAGAGATTGAACACTTTGAAAGCAGCCTTAGAAAATGCATTTCAATTATTCTTTTTCACCCCCTCCTTCTGTGCCCAGGACAAAACTCTGCATGGATTAAGAACTTGGTAAATATTACAGATGAAGCAACAGACAGATTTCAGGCACACATAAGCAAATTGAATTTTTAAACCCTGAATCAGGACATGTGGTTTAATTTTGGAGCATTTTATGTATATGCCAAACAGCCTGAGAAATGTAGCTTGAATTGAAATATATTAGAATACATGAAGACGAATAGAGACAGTAGGAAAATATGTTTGTCATCAGAACTGTTTCAGAAATCCAAAACACCAACCTACCTATTCCACCACTTCAGGTGATCCAAAAAGACTGGGAGTAAACATGTTTCGAGTGGTTCAATGTGTTGTAATTTATATCTATGCATTTCAGATATTAATTGAAACAAAGGTGGGTTAAACTATTGAATGGTTGTTCTGTCTTATAAACACATTTAAATAATACTTTTCTACATGTATTATTATATCCTTTTCTGATCTTTTTCAAGGATCTATTTTATAGATGATTGCTATGGTCTTCCTTATATTAATTATACAAATTTGTTTGTAGATCTGATAACCAAGATTTGATGGCACCAAATTTTTCTTCATATAACAGTTATCTCAGCCTTCTCAGCTATGCTTCAATAACCTGGTGTAAACCATTTACCATTTCAGAGTTTTGCAATAGAGGATAAATATAGCAATATGTTATATATTATTTTCAAAATTCTATTTTAATTGCTTTACTGGGACAATTATTGGTAACTTTGAAAAACAGTTAAAAAAAATCAGACATTAACAAATGCTCCAGGATTTCCATAGTTTCATACTAGCTGGTACTGCCCTAGCCAATCCTTGTTACCTCTTATTTGAATTATGGCAACAGCTTCCTAATGAGTCTCTTGCATTTAGTCTCTCATTGTTCTAGTACATTCTATATTGCGTGTTCTATTTATCTTTATGAAGAAAATTTTGACCAGGTTGTTTTTGTCTTCAAAGGTTTTAATAGTACCTGTTTGTTACTAAATTTGGAACAAATCTTAGCCTCTTGTGCAAAGCTCAATATCCATCCTTCCTTCCTTTGTCCCTCTCCCCCTCCCTCCCTTCCTTCTTTCTTTCTTTCTTTCCTTTTTTTTTGAGACAGCGTGTCGCTCTGTCACCCAGGCTGGAGTGCAGTGGCTCCAGCTAGGCTCACTGCAAGCTCCTCCTCCCAAGTTCATTTAGGTCATTCTCCTGCCTCAGCCTTCCGAGTAGGTGGGACTACAGGCACCCTTCACCACGCCCGGCTAATTTTGTGTATTTTTAGTAGAGATGGGGTTTTACCATGTTAGCCAGGATGGTCTCGATCTCCTGACCTCATGATCCACCTGCCTCAGCCTCGCGAAGTGGCTAGGAGCCACCACACCCCCTCCTCCCTTTCCCTCTCTCTTTCCCTTCTTCTAAAATCTGGTAATGTCTTCATTTCTCCCTCACTTTTGAAGGACAGTTCTGCTGGATAGAGCATTCTTGATTGTCAGATTTTTTTGTTCTTTCAGTACTTTAAATATATCAGCTCAATGCTTTCTGGTCTCCAAAGTTACTGATGAGAAATCTGCTGATAATCTTATTGGGGATCCCTTGTATGTATGAGTCACTTCTGTCTTGCTGCTTTCAAGATTCTTATTTTGTCTTTGGCTTTCTACAATTTGATTATAGTGTGTCTTAGTGTGGGTCTCTTTGAATCCATTCTCTCAGAGTCTGTTGAGCTTCTTGGATCTTTTTATTCGTATCTTTCTTCAAATGTGGGAAGTTTTCAGCCATTATTTCTTCAAATAATCTCTCTTCTCCTTCTGAGACTCCCACAATGCATGTGTTGAACACTTGATGGTGTTCCTAAGGCTCTATTCAATTTTCTTTACTGTTTTTTGTTGTTGTTCTGCAGACTAAATAATTTCAACTGTCCTGTCTTCCAGTTTGCTGTTTCTTTTTTCTACATGCCTGAATTGGTCTTTGAATCCTCCTATAAAATATTCATTTCAGTTATTGTAATTTTCAGCTCCAGTTTTTTTAGGTTTTCTATCTTTTTATTGATATTTCTACTTTGTTTTGGTTTTTCATTTTCTCCACATCTTCCTTTATTTTCTTGAGCATCTGTAAAACCATTGTTTTAAAGACTGTGTTTAGTAGGTCTGTCATGCGGTCTTTTTCAGGGATGATTTTCGTTGGTTTATTTTCCCTCTCCTTTGAGTGAGCCATATTTTCCTGTTTCTTTGTATGATTTGTGATTTTTCTGGTTGATAACTAGACATTTGAATCTTATCACACGGTTACTCTGGGAACCAGATTCTCTGGGTTTGCTATGTTTGTTTTATTGTTGTTGTTGTAGGATGTTTGTGTTGAGGATCAGCTTGAGATGTAAATTTAAGGTCTTCTTAGGCCTTTTATGAGCCTGTGCCTTTCCCTGGGCATGTATGGCAACTTTCTAAATTTTCCTGTATATTTAATTGCTTTTATGTATCTTTTTCCTTAAATGTCTCACTACCCAAAGGAGGAAAAGAGAAAAATAAATAAGGCACGGGCTCTTTAAATCTCCTGGAAGCCACTTCAGCCAGAGAGAGGAGCTGCAAAAATGGTGTGTGTGTGTGTGTGTGTATACACAACAATAGCTGCTTGCCTTTGTGTTTGTACCTCCATGATCAGAAGCAGCAATTAGTGATCAGAACACAGATCTCATATATTTGAAAGACAAGGTCATTATTGTCCACCCTGTTCCCATATGCTGCCTGCAAGCTGCTTTAGGAACACAGACAGGGCAGCCTGTCACAGGGACAGGGGATGAGGAATTGGTAACCACTATTGAGCTGAGAGTTAAAATGAACTGAAATTAACTGTAAGTTACCTTCCAAGCATTCCTCTGGAAGTTGCAAGCACTAGAGTTCCAAAATAGCAATATCAGACAGATTTCAACCGTGCAATTGTTATCTAGGTGGGGGAGAAAAATTCCCTGCTCTGCTATCTTCCTAGGATCCCCCTACCTCTAAATTAAATTTTTTTGAGATGGAGTCTCCCTCTTGTTGCCTAGGATGGAGTACAATGGCGTGATCTCTGCTCACCACAACCTCCGCCTCCCAAGGTCAAGCGATTCTCCTGCCTCAGCCTCTCGAGTAGCTGGGATTATAGGCACGCACCCAGTTAATTTTGTATTTTTAGTAGAGACGAGGTTTCTCCATGTTGGTCAGGCTGGTCTCAAACTCCTGACCTCAGACGATCCACCCACCTTGGCCTCCCAAAGTGTTGGGATTACTGGCATGAGCCACCACACCTGGCCCCCGCAAAGTTTTTTTTTTTTTTTTGAGACAGGGTTCAGGGTTTTGCTCTGCTGCCCATGTTGGAATGCAGTGAAACTTACTGTAGCCTCAAACTCCCAAGTTCAAGCAGTTCTCCCACCTCAGCCTCCCAAATATCTGAGACTACAGGCACACACCACTGTGCCTGGCAATTTTTTTTTTTTTTTCATTTTTTGTAGAGAGACGATCTTGCTTTGTTGCCCAGGCTGGTCTGAAACTCCTAGGCTCAACCAATCCTTCCTCCTTCTACTCCCAAAGTGCTGGAATTATAGGCATGAGCAACCACACCCACCCCAAAATATTTTTTAATGCCTCTCTTCTGTTAGACATAAGTTTAGTAAACAAGATATATAAGTCATTGACCCATGATATCTACAGGATGCTGCAGACATTATAAGACGAACACATAAGTGAAAATATGATTACAGATTACGATAAATGCTATGAAGAAAAAATATGTGATCTGGTATCTTATCCTACAGTAGATTGCTACAACCAATTTTACTCAAGCATAGAATTCCTCTGAACTCCTTTCTTGTCTTAATCCTTCTCTTCTAATTATTGTTATTTAGAATTTATTTTTGCATATATCAAATAATAAGTTTCGGCAACTATCATTCAGGATTTTCTTAAAAGCTAAGATTGATTTACAAAGATTTTCTTCCTCCAATAAACATATATCAGATTTGGCCAAACCCCAGTACAAGAAAGACTCAGCTGCTTGGCCAAGAAAAACTCTATCTACGTTGTGGCAAATATTGGGGACAAGAAGCCATGCAATACCAGTGATCCTCAGTGTCCCTCCGATGGCCGTTACCAATACAACACTGATGTGGTATTTGATTCTCAAGGAAAACTGGTGGCACGCTACCATAAGGTAAATTAATTTGCAAATAATCCAATTAGTTAATATCTAAGGAAATAAAGCGGGCAAGGAGAAAAATACGTTATTGATAATGATAAGCATACTTTAGAAATCAAGTAGAGGCAAAGCATAGAAAGTAATGATAAAGTGTGGAAAGCTCCTATAAAGTGGCTTAAGGGGTTCCCTGTGCATGTAAGAACACAGGAGTGTGTTTTTAGGAGTGTGTGGGAGTCAGAAAGTGCTACATGCATTATGCTGCACAATGTTGCCTTTTGGACTTTGTTTTTTTAAAGACATACCCTGGCAATGGGTCTAGGCTAGAATGAAAAACTGCTTACCACATAAACTCTGTCTTGAGGAGAATGGAGCAAACAAAGTTCCTTGCCAAGGAAAACAGTTAAGTATACTTGGCAAACAGAAGTAATGTATTTTACTCCCATGTCTTATAAGACTCCAAAGGGTCTTTATAGATAAAGATACCCATGTACACATCTGTAATGTGGAGACTGAACCAAAGGCTCAGTTTAGCCGGAATGGCCTCTGGTTCTCCAAAGCAAACTCTTTTCCTATGAAAACAGTGATCATAGATTAAATTGGTACTAAGATGTGAGCTTGCACTTTTTCCAACACTGTGATGTCCAGATCAACTTCCTAAAAGAATTTTTTTCTCTTTCTCTTCTGTTTATTGCAGCAAAACCTTTTCATGGGTGAAGAGCAATTCAATGTTCCCAAGGAGCCTGAGATCGTGACTTTCAATACCAGCTTTGGAAGTTTTGGCATTTTCACATGCTTTGATATACTCTTCCATGATCCTGCTGTTACCTTGGTGAAAGATTTCCACGTGGACACCATACTATTCCCAACAGCTTGGATGAATGTTTTGCCACATTTGTCAGCTGTTGAATTCCATTCAGCTTGGGCTATGGGCATGAGGGTCAATTTCCTTGCATCCAACATACATTACCCCTCAAAGAATATGACAGGTAATGTGTGATCTTAAAGATATGCAGGCTGATGTAATCAGAAAAAAAAAAAAACCATGTTTTTCTAGCTAATGCATACTCCTTAATACAATGTTTTCCAGCTCTTAATTTTTGAACATCTAGTTGTTAATATGCTATAGAATCAATCTCAGTCTAAATTGTTTTGTAGATTTATTTGGTTTTATTTATCTTGATTTTTTTTTTCAAAATATATGACTTCTTACATACATCTCTCCTTTCTCGGCTTCTTGGTGTCATACTTTAACTGATTTCCTCTCACTTCTCTGTCTTTACCAGCATGTTTCACTGAAATTAATAAAACATATAACTTAGAGAGAGTAAAATGTGAATACGAGTTTAAAATAGTAATAACAATCATGAAATCCCTTTTTACTTTCCCATTTCAAATGATATTTTCAATTTATTACTTCCAGGAAGTGGCATCTATGCACCCAGTTCTTCAAGAGCATTTCATTACGATATGAAGACAGAAGAGGGAAGACTCCTCCTCTCACAACTGGAATCCCACCCATCCCACTCTGTAGTTGTGAATTGGGCTTCCTATGCCAGCAGTATAGAACCACTCTCGTCAGGAAACCAGGAATTTAAGGGCACTGTCTTTTTCGATGAATTCACTTTCGTGAAGCTCGCAGAAGTTGCAGGAAATTACACAGTTTGTCAGAAAGCTCTCTGCTGTCATCTAAGCTACAAGATGTCTGACAACCTAACAGAAGAAGTGTATGCCCTAGGGGCATTTGATGGACTGCACACTGTGGAAGGGCTCTATTATCTACAGGTAATATTTTGATGTCAGAAGAGTTACGGGACAAAATAAAGACACTCAGTTAAATATACATTTTAGATAAATAATGAATGATTTTTTAGTATACGCATATCCCGCTTTTGGGGATTTATGCATCCTAAAACTTTTGTTGTTTACCTGAAATTAAACTTGAGCTGGGAAGCCTATAAATATAGGCTAAATTTATTTGCTACATCTTTTTTTTTTTTTTTTTTTGAGACAGAGTCTCACATTGTTGCCCAAGCTGGAGTGCAGTGGCACACAGTTCTCATGACTCAGCCTCCCAAGTAGCTGGGACTATAGGCAAGCGCCACCATGCCTGGCTAATTTTTTTTTTTTTTTTTAGTAGAGACTGGGTTTCACCATATTGGCCAGGGTGGTCTTGAACTCCCTGAGCTCAGGCGATCCGCCTACTTTAGCCTCCCAAAGTATTGAGACTACAGGGATGAGCCACCAAGCCTGGCCTATTTGCTAAATCTTGAAATCTTAGATGTCAGTTAGATGTCAGTTCGATTTTAAGCTGATTGGGGAAAGGCAGAACATTTACTTGCAGTAGCAGTATTAAAAATAAATATTTAAATTACAGATAATTGTAACAATTCATTGAAAACCTGTTTTATTTCCTCCTGAACAAATTAAACCATTTTCCCTATATGTTCACAAATACCTATCTTGCATTATAAAGAGTTTGACGCTAAGTATATCCTGGACATGAATGGAGTTGACCACCAAGATTGTTCAATGGAATGATTTATTGCTGCAAAGATCCAATCTCTCATGCTCACAAGTGGCCTCCATGGTCCTCTAATTCTACTCTTCTCTTCCTTGGTCTGGCCCTCATCTTATCTCACTTAACAGAGCTTCCTGTTGACAGTCTGACAATCTCAGCTCCATCCAGTCAGTTCCCTACACTGTAGTTACAGAAATCACAAAAAGCTGTTTTTGATTATAATACTGTCTGGCTTAAAATTCTTCACTGACTTCTAATTGACAAATCAAATTTCTTAACATGAAAGATATACGAAGTCTAGATGTGTGGTCCCTTCCTATTCTCCATCCTCTAATTTCACTTCTACTTACATATATCCTGGTCTTCTGCAATATTGAGATATTTTCCTATTTCCTATTTGCTAGCACCTGCAGAACCTCGAGGTGTTTGCACAGATTGTTTGGTCCTTTATCCATGGCGAGCCCCACCTACTCATTTTCATAGCACTTTTCAGGTGTTATCTTCACCAAGGAGCCTGCCTGGATATTTCCCAAGGAGCTACTCCTACCTCCCCAGCTGAGTTAAGTACCTCCTTTGTGTGCTCCCAGAGCACCATATGCTTAGCTTTATCAAAGACATACTATGTCATAGTATTCACATACTTATTTGAGACTGAGAACCCCTTGAGTGCTGAAATTATGCCAACTACACAGTATTTTGTTTGCTCTATGATAACTACTCTATCAATACTTGTTCATTTTAGCAAGTGAAGGCCTACTATATGCCAGGTATTTATTTAGTGTTAATGATATGAAGATAAATAAGCATAGATTCTCCTCTTGAGGAATTAGTAATGGAGAAAGACATTTGAACAGATAGTTTCAGCATAGGTTGGCATATGATAGTCCGTAGAATGCACATTTTGCTGCAGGAGTACTAAAGAGCTCCCGTTAGATTAATTTGGGAATGCAGGGAAGTTTCTGGAGCTGATGCTATTATCCAGGTGAAAAAGAGGAGGAGGGGATTCTTTGTGGTGTGAAGAGCATGAACAAGGGTGTGGATGCAGGCAGAAGCAGGGTCTGCAGGGAAAATCAAGCAGGTCAGTGCTACTAAGGCATAGCTCGAGATGCTGGGGTTGGTGGGAAATAAACTTGGGGGCAACATCCTGTCCTGCAGGATCTTACCGAGCACACTTAAGATTCAGCCTTTATTCTGCGGGTGATGGTCAGCTGGTGGAAGAGGTCCAGTGAGGGAATGATGTGGTCAGATCTGCCTTGGAGTGTATCATTTTTACTACTCTGTAGATGATGGAACAAAGACCCAAAAGACTAGATTATTAAAATAGTCTTATTAAGGGTCTGGACCAAGACTGTGTTTGTCGGAATAAAAGCAAAGCATGGAGTCTAGAAATGTTTAGAAAACGGAACTCAGTGGCTAATTTGATGTGGAACAGGAAAGCAGAATGAAGAATCCAGAATGTGGCAGGTTTCTGGCAAGAATGGCTGGGTGGGTGAGATGCCTCTGACAGATCAGGAGGCAAGAGAGGAGCAGACTGGTTGATAGTGGGTAGAGGCTGAGTTCAGTTATAGATACGGTGGTTTTGAAGTCGTTATGAGACATTCAGCTGGACCCAGTCAGTTGGCTGTTGAATACTTTGGTGTGATGCTTAACGGAAGTACTAGAATTAGAAATATTGTTTCGAGAATCAGCAAGATACAAGGGGCGATTAAGCACACAAGAGTGAATGACACTGCAAAGGAGACTGTACTGACAATAAAGAACTATTGACAAGGTAGAACCTTTAGGTGCTTCAGTATTTGGGGCAGGAAAGGACAGAGGACAAGAAACCTGCAAATACAATTGAGAAATAAAAGATAATTTAAAAAGAGAACATCTGGTAGATGCAAGGAAGTAGAGACTCTTGGAAGAAGGAAATCGGGAGGTGTATTAATGCAATACGTTGACCATTATTAGCATTTTTGAGTATAATTTTGGCAGAATTTTCTGAGCTCATAATGATAGGATGATGGGCAGATTATATTGGGTTGAAAAGTCAAAGGGAAGTGAATGCATTTTTTTTCCCCAAGAAGTCTTATCTGAGACAAGAAGAAGAGAAGCAAGACAAGGGCTTAACAGAGACTCATGGTCAGGAGAAATGTGTGTGTGTGTGTGTGTGTGTGTGTGTATGTTTCTCAACAAATGAGAGAGCCTTCATTGCCTTTGTAGGTCTAGGAGAAAGAGCTACAAAAGAAAAAATATATAAAATATGAGAGGAATCAGGCCAGGTGCGATGGCCTGTAATCCCAGCACTTTGGAAGGTCAAGGCGGGCAGATCACCTGAGATCAGGAGTTTGTGACCAGCCTGTCCAATGTGGTGAAACCCTGTCTCTACTAAAAATACAAAAATTAGCCAGGCATGGTGGCAGGCACCTGCAATCCCAGCTACTTGGGAGGTCGAGGCGGGAGAATTGCTTGATCCTGGGAGACGGAGGTTGCAGTGAGCTGATATTGTGCCACTGCACTCCAGCCTAGGCAAAAGAGTGAGACTCTGTCTCAAAATAAAATAAAATAAAATAAAATATAGGAGGAATCAATACTCCTACTCAGTGTTCCAAGGTGCTGGAGGAAAGGGGGAAAAATAGTATCATGAACACAGGTACAAAATGTCCAACAAGTGGAAATTAAATGAATTATATGGTATATTATGGTATATTATATGGTATATTATATGGTATATTAACATATGTAGCCTTATATTGTGACATACATGTGGTATTATATTGCTATATAAATTTTTATAATTGAAGTATAAATTGTAATGTATTATTTTTAAGTTTAAAAAGGTTGGTCACAAAACAAGAGGGTAATCTCTTAGCTCTTCTTCCCTCCTTTTCCTTCCTGCCTCCTCTACCTTTTCCTATAGAAAAGGTTTTTGCCTCCCCCAGAGTCTCGGCTCTTCCTATAGAGAGTTGTGGGAAGTTCTTTCTTAGTGTTGTGAGGTAGGTTAGCTTTGTCAAGTAAAACCAAGCTTTCTGTTTATCTTGCTAGATGGTGATATTCCATTTAAATGATTGGTACCAGTTATGTTTTGGAATCTTTCTATTTAAAGATAATAATACATATTACTTGATATTACCAGCAGAATCTGGGAAAATACCCAGAATCAAGCATATTAATATATCTATTGGAAAACATGGGACTATTCACCTTAAATAGCTTGAATAAAAATGTTATAGCCTTATGTTAATTCAAGTTAGGTCTTAATGCCAATGTGCCAGTGGGTTACAAAAATCCTTTATTTTCAGAGGATTTTGGATTTTGGTATTGAAGATAAAGAATTTTGGTATAATATTATATTTGTAATTTTTCATAGTCTAACTGTGATGATATATTATGCTTGAAAAATCTTGATTATCACCAAAAGCCACCTCCAATCCAAGTGAAGAGAAACAGAGAGAGGTAAAAGTGAAATAAACCCCTATCTTGCCACACAGATTTTCTAAGCATTCTGTAGTGAATATGCATAATTTTGTTTATATCAATATGTCATTGCAAACTTATTGCTTTTATATTTTTTCTTTGTTTTTCCTAAAGTTATTAATTGCCTTATTTTTTAAAATTTAGTTAATTTTCTTTGACTTTTTGTTAAAACCCCATATCTTCCAACGGCATCTCAGAATAATTTTCCCACAATATCATTTTCATAAGATTATCTAGAGCTAAAAATAATAACCTTTCTCTGCACTGGTTTCCCTCTAGTCCTTCTGCACAGCTGTCATATTGAGATTTCCTTTACTGTCATCCTAGGAATGCTCTCTTAGCTATTTCCTTGCTTTGGGTTCTCTGTTTTTCTCCTTCTACCTTTATCTGCTCCTTTCTTCTGTTGGAGTCAACACTGTCTAGTTACATTGCTCTAATCTGAACTGGCTGCTCTCCATGCCTTGTACATGATAGGAGTCATCCTGGAATCTCCCTTTATCCTCGTGGTGAAGATTTTCTTTTTTTACCACTTCCCGGTGTGGATTTCCTGTTTTCTGTTCCCCATCTTTCTTGTTTTGGGCTTGTGCCCTCTTTCTTGTTGTTAACAGTTTCCGGAAAGAGAGTTGATTGGGATGCAAGATTTTTGAGACTTACCAGTCTGAAAGTGCCTTTCCTCTTAAATTTAGTTAAGTATTTCCCTGGGCATGGAATTCAAAGGTGGTTATAACTACTTCTTCAGGATTGTGAATGTATTATACCCTCACATCTTATGTTGCTATTGAGAATCCTGAAGTTCTTCTGATTCTTGATTCTCTGTATGTGTATTCCTCATTCTGCACCTTCCCCAGAATGCATGCAGAGTTTCTTCCTTTACATTTTCTTTTTCTCTTTTTCTGAAACTCTTATTATTGGGATCTTTTGCCTCTTGGATTGGTGCTCTAATTTTCCGACATTTTCTCTGCTATTTTTTACTACTTTATTTTTTTCCCTCTACTTTCTGAGAGATTTCCTCCTCTTGATCTTCCAAATCTTGTACTGAATCTTTTATTTTTGTTAACATGTTCATAATTTCCAAGAACTCTTTTTTCTTGTCTTCTGAGTTTTACTTTTTCTTCAACACTTGTTGTTTTGAGCATGTATTATTTTTTCTTCTCTCTCTGAGGCTATTCAGAAAACTTTTTATTGAAGCTCCTTCCCCCTGCTTCCTTTAAGTTGTTTTTATCTGCTTTTTTATTTGCTTTTTCATGCAATAAGTTTTTCTCACATATCTGGTAACTCTTGGGGATTACCAAAAACTCATAGAAAATTCTGAGCATGTGAGTAACACTTGCCAATTTTGAGCTTCATGATAGAATGACCTAGCTGGACCTTTTGCTGGGGGGAAGTCTAAGGTAAGTGTCTTTAGAGACTTCCTCTTGGGATGGTCATATCTCGCAGTTTTCAAGATTCTTCTAATTTCCTTCTTGAATCAGTTGTCTAGTTTAGGAAATAAAAATACAGGATCTCCAGGTAAATTTGAAGTTCAGATAAGCATTTTTTTTTTTTTTTTTTTTGGTTGAGACAGTCTCTCTGTTGCCAAGGCTGGAGTGCAATGGCACGATCTCTACTCACTGCAACCTCTGCCTTCTGGGTTCAAACAATTCTCCTGCCTCAACCTCCCAAGTAGCTGGGATTAGAGGTGCATGCCACCACACCCAGCTAATTTTTTATATGTCTGGTACAGATGGGGTTTCACCATGTTGGCCAGGCTGGTCTCGAACTCTTGACCTCAAGTGATCCACCTGCCTCAGCCTCCCAAAGTGCTGGGATTACAGGCAGGAGTCACTGCTCAGAGCCCAGATAAACATTTTTCTTTTTTTAAAGTGTAAGAATGTCCCATTCAATATTTAAGACACACTTATACTAAAAAATTATTTGTTGCATATCTGAACTTCAAATTTAACTGGGAGTCCTGCCCTGTGTTTTACCTGGCAACCCTATTCCTGAAAGATAAATCCCTGCTGGCAGCATTAGGGAGCCAAGTGGGGAAAATGGCCTTGCAAGGTGTGGGTGGGGGTTGAGGGGGAACGTTTTCAACATTCAGTATTATTTATTCAGGTAATCCCCTTCAACTGTGTCAAACTTTCATCTAAAGAACATCCACTTTACCCCCTCTGGAAACATTGTCAGTCATTTACTGGAGTAGGGGAGGATCAGTTACCCAATTTTTTGGAGGACTTAGTATCCAAGGCATCCTTCACAATTTTCTGCTCATTTTTTTTTCCTTTGACTGCCACAACTTTACTCCTAGCTCTAGGTACAGAGCGGTCCCAGTGATTAAATCTTTGAGTGCTTTGCAGCATATATAGGGTTGATTCTTGGCTCTTTCTACTGTTAGTTTAGAACTTGGCTTTCTTAGGTCTGCTAAATCAGTTACTACTTTTTCTATCAACATCCTAGTTTTTAAAACTGTGCTGTGGTCTATCCTCCTATTTTCCTATCTTTGTGGGCTAAAAAATTAGTGTTCTTTTTGAAGGATTGTAGAAAATAAAATTGAAGCATCTGTTCATTCTACCTTTACCTGAAAGTTACTTGTATCCCATCTTAATACACTTGCACTGAAGTGATTACTTTCTACCTGCAAAGTGGAAAAAATGAGACCAGTTAGTGGCTACTGCTTTAGTCAAGCAAGAAATGAAGGTGACTTGGAATATGCCGTACAGATGGCATTAAATGAATATGGATCTCCTTTTGGAAACTTTTCGCCTGCATGGTGAGATGACTCACATACTTAGATTTTATATTCAATAGTTACATACTATAGTGGAAAAAAAACTTAATGGAGAAGTGTTTCAGTTCTTGCACAGATATAGAGGATATGACTTTTCCAGATTACAGGAGTTGCCTCTAGTTCAACGCTGGGGTTCATTACAACTCTGAAGCTCTTTTATTGTGTGAAACAGGCAATAAGATATGATTTACACAGGTGCCTAAATTAAACCTTTAAACACATTTTAAGTTCTTGATAATTAAAATCATTAGTAACTTGAGATTATTGAAGATATAGTTGTTCATGGCTATAGGCCAAGGATCTGATTGCTTTTACGTGGCTAATCATTTTGACAGTGAATTGCAGGAGGCACTGGGGCTTAAAGTCCTTTATTTTTATTATTAGTTGTATTAATTATTCCATAATAAGCTGGATGACTCTAATGAAGAAGTAACATTATTTTACCAAATAAAGTGGCATAGGCATTTTTCTAGATCAAGAGAGTATTTCAGTTGACTTTCTCATTTTTTTTAAGAGCATCTAGCATTTTATTTAATTATTTATTCTATTTTTATCTTTAAAATTTACCCTAGCTTTATTGTCATTAACGAATGAAAATTATATATCTTTACAGTGTATGATGTGATATTTTGATATGTGTATACACCATGAAATGATTAAATCAAGCAAATTAACAAATCCCACATGACTTTCTTATGACTTACTGGTTTTCATGACTTCCCTAGATTTGTACCTTGTTGAAGTGTAAAACGACTGATTTAAACACTTGTGGTGACTCAGTTGAAACAGCTTCTACCAGGTTTGAAATGTTCTCCCTCAGTGGCACTTTCGGAACCCAGTATGTCTTTCCTGAGGTGTTGCTGAGTGAAAATCAGCTTGCACCTGGAGAATTTCAGGTAAGAATCTTTGAATATTGCCAATTAGTTTCATGTAAGAGGAAGCACTTTTTGGTATAAAAGCCTGCTCAAGTGCTTACAAATATCATACAAATTTCCATTTGGAAAGGGTCAGATTGTCCCTGGGGATCATGAAGGACATTGAGCAGGCTGCATTTCTTGACTGGGAATTCTTAACATAGTAATTAGTGTGTCCTTGAGAATAAAAAGATATATATCTTATTTTGGGGATTATAGGGAGTTTAAGGTCTTCCACATAGAAAGAAGATTCAACGAGAGTAGTTTCAGAACCAGTCCCACTGGAGCCCATTAGGATACTGGGAAGTGACGGCCTAGGGAAGTTGAAAGGAGTCCCTCTCATCGAGTGAGTCAAGGCTCTGTGTGACGGTAGAAGGAAAAGAGACAAGGAAAAGCTGAAAAAGAGAGAATTCGACAGTGGCTGATGTTGGCAAAAAAGCAAAAACTTTTTAAAGTTCAGAAATAATCCCTTGTTGCACATGTGCTCTGCCCAGCCACATTCTTCCGCTGACTTCCTGCTAGTTCTCCTCTCACTTCCCGTCCCTGGTAGAAACCACTGCTGGGGTGAGGGAGGACAATGGAATGATGAGGTGGTTGTAGTGAGCAAGAGACAGGAAATGACAGATGCTCAGTTCAAACCCCTCTTAGTCAATTGCTTCAGGCCATTGTGAGGAGCAATTGTGGGGAGAGGACTAGGTTTCTCTTCTGTATACTGCCAAATCCACTGGTTTGTGTTTATTAACTCTTACGGCGCCTCCACAGGTAAGTAAAGTAGAAGATATTGATTACAGGCATCTCAATAATAAATGAATCAGTACCAGTTTCATAGCTCCAATTTTTCTCGTACTCGGCAACATTTCAAATTTTTCTGATGCAATAGAATTTGGCCAGCATTTTTGTTTCTTCATTCTGTTATAGTAAATTTTTAAAGTGAGTTATGGGATTGTATAACTTGAATGTAGCCTTTGCCTACTTTTTTGTTTTAATCAGGTGTCAACTGATGGACGCTTGTTTAGTCTGAAGCCAACATCTGGACCTGTCTTAACAGTAACTCTGTTTGGGAGGTTGTATGAGAAAGACTGGGCATCAAATGCTTCATCAGGTCTCACAGCACAAGCAAGAAGAATAATGCTAATAGTTATAGCACCTATTGTATACTCATTAATTTGGTAGAATATTGACATTTTCTGTTTTTTACTTGGGATAATTTAAAAAATGATGGATAAGAAAAGAAAGATTGCTCTGGGTTAATACTGTTCTCTAGTATAAGTGAATTACTGATTTCTCTTTATTTAGACAAACACACACACACACCAGATAATATAAGCTTAATAAATTATCTGTTAATGTAGATTTTATAAAAAACTGTATTTGAACATTGGTCTTTCTTGGAAGTGAGCTAATTATATCAAATAAGTATTACAAATCTTTTATGCAGAAGAAATAAAAACTACCGGTAAAAAACATATCAGAACTATCATAAAATTTACTTACAAGAAGGCTGCTCTTGTTACCACTTTTATTATAATACATATCACTTATTCAGCTCTGTTGAAAATTTCCAAAGGTTTTATTTGTTTGCTATTTTAGTTTTTTACCTAAACAATGCATTTTGATTCTCTTGCGGTTTGAATAATGTCTCCCAAAAATTTACATGTTGAAGTACCTCAGAATGTGATTGTATTTGGAGACAGGGTCTTTAAAGAGGTAACATAAGGTCATTAGGATGGACCCTAATTCAATATGACTGGTGTTCATAAAAGAAGAGGTGAGTAGGGCACAACAGGCTCAAAGGGAGACCTTATGAAGACACAAAGGAAAAACAACTCTTTACAAGCTAAGGAGAGAGGCCCTCAGAATAAACCAACCCTGCCAACACCTTGATCTTGGATTTCCAGCCTCCAAAACTGTGAGAAATACATTTCTGTTGTTTAAGTCACCCAGTTCATGGTACTTTGTTCAGCCCTGGCAAACGAATCAAAGACCATTCCTGTTCCTCTCTCCACCACTACTGTTTTCTACCATAATCTGAAGCTTCAACAAAAGGCTTACCTGGTAAGAGTATTCAGCTGATCTGGGTCCCCAAGACTCCAACAGACACTCTTAGAGAAGGATTGCTGATGGATTGATAGTGAAACCATTAGATCACTGAATTCCTCTGGAATTAGAAAATCAGAGAGTCCCATTTTAAGAAGTTAGGTATTTAGTCTAGCATTATGTGTTCTATTTTAGTAACAGCAGAATCTCTTGACATTACACAATTCAGTGAAACAAAGAACATCATTTAAGCCAAAACATCTCGCAAGGTGACTAATAGACTCTGAGCACTAATATCATAGTACTGTGATGATGGACAATTACATAGCACCAATAGCAGCCATGCACTGTGCAAAGCATGCCTTTCTGCACAGGAGAGCAAGGCACTTGCAGCAGTGATCTATGCCAGCAAAACATCATTTTGAGACAAACATTTTTGTGGCAGATGTTCTTCCTAAAAAGTACTATATCATCCAAGAAATATTTGAGTAAAATCCCTTGTGCTTTTGGGTGACATTAACTGACATTAGCTTTTTTTCAAGACCTAATAGAAAATAAGAAAACCCATAATGTATTTAGAAACAGGAATCCACAGAGCAAGTCTCCATACTCTCATATAATTTCAATGTAAAACAGAAAACATATTGATGTGTTGGTGATAGGCTTGAATTATTAAAAGCTTCAAAAGAATTCTAAATGTTTCTTTTCTGCTCAACATTGACAACTATGGTAGGTCTCCCTTGTGGTGTAATGAATTGCCCCCAAACTAATATCTTAAAACAACAAAGATTTATTACCTTATAGAGTTTCTGAGGGTCAGGATCCAGGACTGGCTTAGTGGAGTTGTTCTGAATTAGGGCCTTTGTAAAGTTGTAGTTAACTTGTCCCCAGGGCTGCCATCATCTCAAGGCTCGGGTAGGGCTGGAGAAAATCTGTTTCTAAGCTCACTCACGGTTGTTGTCAGGCCTCCATTCTGTAGGATGCTAGAAAAACTTTCATAAAATGTCATCTGGCTTCTCCTAGAGCAATGATACTGAGAGAGAAAGCACATGAGAGAAAGAACGAGGGAACTTGGATGTAAGCCACAGTCTTTGAAAGCCTAATCACAGAAGTGACATCTCTTCTTTCACACGATATTGGTCACATGGACCAACAATGGCACAATGTGGACAGAACAAACAGAGTTGAGAATATCAGGAGGTGGGGCTTCATGGGGGCCATTCTGGATGCTATCACAGTGAATATATGTATTTATATTTACATATGTATATATTGCAATGTAATTTTAAAAATAGGATTGTTTTTCTTTTCTTTTTGCTGTATGTGATATGTATTTCAAAATACACTCCCAATAGTCATATCTATTAGAAAAGTACTACACTAAAAAACTTTCTATATGTTGTATAATTAAATTAAATAATGTAATAATCTCTACTTTTGGTCAATAGTAAATTTAACTGTTTGCCTTAACTGCAGTTTGTGGTAAAACCATCTCCTTTTAATATACACAAAGGACTTTTTTTTTTTTTTTTTTTTTTGAGACAGAGTTTCACTCTTGTTGCCCAGGCTGGAATGCAATGGCACGATCTCAGCTCACTGCAACCTCCATCTCCTGGGTTCAAGCGATTCTCCTGCCCGAGCCTCCTGAGTAGCTGGGATTACAGGCTGGGATTACAGGCGTGCTCCACCATGCCTGGCTAATTTTGTATTTTTAGTAGAGATGGGGTTTCTCCATGTTGGTCAGGCTGGTCTCGAAATCTGATCTCAGGTGATCTGCCTGTCTAGGCCTCCCAAAGTGCTGGGATTACAGGCGTGACCCACTATGCTCAGCCCATGGGACTTTTGTATTCATTTTTCCGAAGCTTACTTTGTAGGGGAACATACATTAAAAAGTAACATAAAATAAACAGCAAAAGTTCCAGAATTATTAATTCATGAAGTGCAACCACTAGGAAAAAGGGTCTTAAAAACATTACCCTCTTTACCTAATTGATTCTTTGAAGAAACCAATATTCTTTTTCCTAATAATCTATTTTATATACAATATATATCAAAAGTATATAAATATATATATATAACAAAAGTGAAAGAAACTGACTCTTAATCACAATGTTCTGAATATCAAGAGGAATACTAAAAAAGTCAACTAGAAAATCAAGTCAACGTCAAAAGCTGTTCTGAAACACATCACTTTGATTCTATACTGAAAGCTGATACCTCGAATTTCCTCTGCTTCACTGTCCTGTGGTTGTACTGGGCGTGTTCCAAATGTGTCACTTTTATTTTTTTTATTATTAAAAAAAATAATTTCAATGGTTATTTTAGATTCAGGGGGTACATGTGCAGGTTTGTTACATGGGTATATTAGGTAATGCTGAGGTTTGGGGTACAAATGTCACCCAGGTGATAAGCATAACACCCAATAGGTAGTTTTCAGCCCTTTCCCTCTCCCTGTTTCCCAGCTGTAGTAGACCCCAGTGTCTGTTGTTGCCATCTTTATGTATACTAAATGTTTAGCTTCCCTTTGAAAGTGAGAATATGCAGTATTTGGTTTTCTGTTCCTGCCTTAACTCGCTTAGGATAATGACCTCCAGCTGCATCCATGTTGCTGCAAAATACATGATTTTGTCCTTTTTTATGGCTGTGTAGTATTCTATGGTGTATATGTACCATATTTTCTTTATCTAACCCATCACTGATGGGCAACTATGTTGATTCCATGTCTTTGCTATTGTGAATAGTGCTATCATGAACATACGAGCGCACATGTCTTTTAACAATTTCTTCTCCTTTGGGTATATAGTTAGTAATGCGGTTGCTGGATCAGATGGTAGTTCTGTTTTGAATTCTTTGAGAAATCTCCAAACTGCTTTCCACAGTGGCTGAACTAATTTACATTCCCACCAACAGTACAGAGCTCCCTTTTCTCCACAGCCCCAACAGCAGCTGTTATTTTTGACTTTTTAAATAATAGCTATTCTGACTGGTATGAGATGGTATCTCATCGTGGTTTTGATTTGCATTTCTCTGATAATGAGTAATGTTGAGCATTTGTTCATATCTTTCTTGACTACTTGCATGTCTTCTTTTGAGAAGGATCTGTTCATGTCCTTTGCTCATTTTTAATGGAGTTTTTTTTGTTGTTGTTGATTCAAGTTTCTTATACATTCTGGATATTAACCTTTATTAGATCTTTGGTCAGATGCAGTTTGCAAGTATTGTCTCCCATTCTGTAGGTTGTCTGTTTACTCTGTTGATAGTTTCTTTTGCTGTGCAGAAGCTCATTAGTTTAATTAGGTTCCACTTGTCAATTTTCTTTTTTGTTGCAATTGCTTTTAAGGTCTTAGCCATAAATTCTTTTCTAAGGCTGATGCCTAGAATGGCATTTCCTACATTTTCATCTAGATTCTTGTAGTTCCCAGGTCTTATGTTTAAATCTTTAATCCATCTTAACAAAATAACCTACAGATTAGTGCTATTCCTACCAAACTACCAAGGTTATTTTTCACAGAATTAGAAAAACTATTTTATAATTCATGTGAACCAGAAAAGAACCCCCAGAGCCAAAGCAAAATCGTAAGCAAAAAACAAAACAAACACACAAAAACCAACAAAGGCAGCAGCATCATGTTACCCAACTTCAAACTACAATAAGTCCACAGTAACTAAAACATCATGGTACTGATACAAAAACAGACACACAGACCAGTGGAACAGAATAGAGAACTCAGAAATAAAGCTGCACACTGATATAGTTTGTATATTTGTCCCCACCCAAATCTCACGTTGAATTGTAATACCCAATGCTGGAGGTGGGGGCCTGGTGGGAGGCATTTGGGTCATGGGGATGCAGCTTTCACAGCTTGGTACTTCTTGGCGATAGTGAGCTCTCACAAGATCTGGTCATTTAAAAGCGTGTAGCAGTCCCCCTACTCTGCCTTGCTCCTGCTTTTGCCATGTGAAGCGCCTGCTCCTGCTTCGTCTTCTGTCATGAGTAAAATCTTCCCAAGGCCTCCCCAGAAGCAGATGCTGGCACTGTGCTTCCTGTACAGTCTGCAGAACCATGAGCCAATAAAACCTCTTTTCATATAAATTACCCAGTCTCTGGCATTTCTTTATAGTAATGCCAAGAACAGTCTAATACACACACCTACAACCATATAATTTTTGACCAAGTAGACAAAAATAAGCAATAGGGAAAGGACTCTCTATTCAGTAAATGGTGCTGGGATAACTGGCTAGCCATATGCAGAAGAATGAAACTGGACCCCTACCTTTCACCATAATTTTTGTTTTTGAAAAGATAGTAAAATTCTTAGATGAAGAGAGTATCCTACACTTATAATAATGCTTAGGCAGCATGCTCTAGTGTGCAATGGAATTATTGTTTACAGAAAATGCAAAAACAAATCTATGTTCTAATAATATTCTTACCTATTTGGGGTTTGTGTAATTTAAATGAAACCTAGTGGATAAAAATACTAAGTAAATATGGGACCTAGTAAATCTAAATATCTGTAGCACTTCAAATATGACGATAATGATAACCCAATCTTAAAATACGAGGAAAACACATATAAATCAATAGTGCTGTATTATAGTGCTGTTACTGTGTATACCATTTTTATCATGGCAACTTATAGACTAAACATAAAGAAAAGCTGTACCCTTAAAAATTGAGATCTACAGTGTTTTCTTTTTTTTTTTTTTTTGAGATGGAGTCTTGCTCTGTCTCTCAGGCTGGAGTGCAATGGCACGGTCTTGGCTCACTGCAACCTCTGCCTCCTGGGTTCAAACGAGTCTCCTGCCTCAGCCTCCTGAGTAGCTGGGCCTACAGGCGCATGCCACCACACCCAGCTAATTTTTGTACTTTTAGTAGAGACAGGGTTTCACCATGTTGGCCAGGCTGGTCTCAAACTCCCGACCTCAGGTGATCCGCCTGCCTTGGCCTCCCAAAGTGTTGGGATTACGGGCATGAACCACCGTGCCCAGCAGAGATCTACTATTTATCCAGAGTTCTTAGTGAATCCAAGGAGAGGGTCATGGAAAAGTAACAAGGTCTAACGTGAAACAATGATGAGAGGAAAGTGGTAAAGAAAAGGGGAGGGGAGAACTAATGAGAGTTCGCTATAATACAATAAAAATCTGGCACTTTCAAATACTAAATATGAAGTTTCTTAAATTGGCAAGGCAGAGGAACATGTGCACACACAGATATACATGTACTGATGGCCACACACACAGGCCAAAGCATGTTTGGGGAACCACATTTGGACACAGATGCAGACTAAAATGTGAGTCAGCTGTGTTTCTACTTCTAGAAAAGTGCTATGACAGAGGCTGGGAGCGGTGGCTCACACCTGTAATCCCAACACTTTGGGAGGCTGAGGTGGGCGGATCAAGAGGTCAGGAGATTGAGACCATCCTGGCTAACATCGTGAAAACCCGTCTCTACTAAAAATACAAAAAAATTAGCTGGGCGTGGTGGCGGGCGCCTGTAGTCCCATCTACTCAAGAGGCTGAGGCAGGAGAACGGTGTGAACCCGGGAGGCGGAGCTTGCAGTGTCACACTCCAGTCTGGGCGACAGAGCGAGACTCCATCTCAAAAAAAAAAAAAAGAAAGAAAGAAAAGTGCTATGACAGAAAGGTTTGCATGGGTGTGGTGCTATCAGACAGGAAACAGACTATATATCCCTTCAAAAGCCAGCCTTCAAAAATGCCCTCATATAGGGAAAAGCATCTGGCTTGTGGTAGAGGGTTGACTTCTGCTCAACAGTGATGTCCAGGTGATAATCTCATTCTCCTCCAGCCTCCAAGCATCTCAGGAGTATCTGTCTGTTATAGTTTTTTTCTATTCATAGCTCAGTACAGTTGACCCTTGAGCAACGCAGGTTTGAACTGCACACATCCACTTATATGTAGATTTTTTCAATAAATATATTGAAAAATATTTTGGAGATCTGTGACAATTTGAAAAATCTTGCAGACAAACCACATAGCCTAGAAATATTGAAAAAATTAAGAAAAAGATAAGTCATGAAAGCATACATGTTATCATTTTATCATTTATTGCCATAAAATATATACAAATCTATTATATAAAGGCAAAATTTATCAGAATACACATGCACTTACAGACTGTACATAATCCCATTTGCAATGAAGAGAAATGTAAGATGCAGTATTAAGTCATTGTAAAGATTTTATGTGTAAAGATGAAGTATTAAGTCATTACCACATAAAATTTACTGTAGTATTACATATTGTACTACTGTGAAAATGTTATTGCCCCTTCCTGTTGCTACTGTGTGAGCTCAAGTGTTGCAAGACTGCTTCACGCCCTGTGACAATAATCGTCTTTGCATGAGCAGTTCCTCTTCAGTAAACTGGAGATTGCAGCAAAAAGTGATTTTGGAGTTCT